AGGCTTCCCTACGGGAATGTTCCCGCAGCTCACTGACTCGACTCACCCAACCCAACCCTAGTCCATGGGAAGTTGACGTTCGATATAAACCCTTGTGGTTATCTGGCGGTAGAGGTATCCTGTGCCTTCACTTTTATCAGCACTTGTGCTTTCAGTTTTCCTGTCACATTCCTTTTCGTCTCTTTTAGCTCCGTGTTTTGCTCCATTTCTTGTATCTTACTGCCCTGTCATGAGTCAGATTTGTGGATTCTACTTATCACTTCTCAGTCAGTACCCCTTGTTTGTGGCACGAAGGCGAAGGCCATCACGTGTAATACAGTGACTTGGCGACAAGACATTTTAGTAGACCATCGAATGAGACAATTCGTGAGGGTGAACATCCTTAACATGTTGACTGTCTACTGGGAGTTAATGTACGTTGGCGACTCCCACGAGCGTAAACCCGGACATTGCCTTCTACTTCACCGGTTGCTGCTTTCACTGCATTGTTCCGTTTGACACATCCCCCTGTTTCGTGTATGCAGATGTGACTTGCGAGTCTGGCGACACAAGAGACGAGTCTCTTCTATCTAACGTGATGCTTCCTAACATCGGGTTGGCGAAGGACGTCATAGGAGGAGGAGGTGGGGGAGAATTAGCCTTGGGTTTGGAGGAGGTGGATTTGACCAAGGCCTAATGGAGGCAGAGGAGCGAGCTATTCTGGCGTCACTACATTGCAAGGAATAGGTTAAAATAAAGGAGAAAAGTACATGAAATGCAATATGGGTGATAGCAGGGGTGGGGTATGCATGGTAGGGTACAGTGCGAGTGTCAGCTCTTGAGAGCATAGATAGGAGTAGGAGGAGAAGGAGACACTCACTGAAGAGACGTTGAAGTGGGGCATATGAAATGGGAGGATAACAAGATGCCTCCTGCTCCACCGTTTCGACGACGTAAACAGACCACGTTGCTATATATGTACATTGATTCCTAATTTCTACGCCAGAGAAGAAAGAGGCCTCATTGTACGTAGCCTAAGTTCTATCGAGTCGATTTGGCGTGCCAACCGAGGAAGTGGCGGGATCACCTCAAACGGACGAGCATGGTAGCAGCTATGAGGTACGCATGATAGAACAGATAATCCTATCAACCTATCTTATCCTATCCTCTTGCTAAGGAGCCTCATCCAGTGTGATCAAGTCAAGGCAGGTCTAGAGTAGCGTAAACCAGTGCTTCTTGAGTGCACTTGGTAACTAACAATTATGTTGCGCGAGGTAATATAGGTCCCTACGACTACTTCTACTACTGTTGATGGTGAGTTGGTGGTTGCAAATGCACATAAGGGAGGCATAAGCGGCGAGTGCTGCACAAGTGGTGCAGTTAGGGGGCGTTAACATGTTGGAGGAATTGGCCGCTCACCCCAAACATCGCTACGCAGCTAGCGAACAAAGATTCCTGGTGAGTGTTCCCAATTCTTTTCCTTGGTGAATCGTCACCTCTGACCAGGGAGAACAATGGCGGTGATTGAACTCTTCCGGTGGAGGCGAAGTAACATAACTGTGTAACTAAAGAAGATAAAGGGTTAAAGAAGAGAATAGAAGAGGAGAGGTAGGGGGAGATAAGACAACTGAATGAAGCATGAGGCAATGTACTTTGATGGAGGGTATATCCATTTCTACTAAAGGTCGAAGTTGAGTATCTGTACACGGTGCTGTTTACTACGTCATTTGCTTCCTTCTTCTGCTGTCCATTCGTAAATTTATTTGTTTACTTGCCTTTCAGCCATCCTAGCTGCCTAGCCATACAACTGTTGGAAACGTGAAAAATTGACTTAGTTGGAGGAACTATGCATGTCTACCAGATAATGCGCATAAAGAGGCTCCTCATAATTGTCCCTTCACAAGTCAAAATGACGGGACTAAAAGTTTAGCCAAAAGTAAAATGTTGAACGGGCATATATGGAGAGGAAAAGCAGGAAGAGTAAAGGTGGCAGATGAAGGAGGAGGAGAATGCCGTAGCATAACTTGCCCTAATTACTACGACTTTCATCTGTTCTACTCGTTTTTATCTTCTGACGCCTCTGAAATGGTGAATCGGGAGGATGGGAGTGACAGGGAAATGGAGAGGGGAAAAAAGGAGATGGAAGTGGGGGACGAAAAGTAGACCGATGGCGAGGTCGAAACAGAGCGACACGGGCGCATTGAAGATGAACTAGGTGGTAGGAATGACGACAATGTACAGAAGTGCCAGAATAGTAGAAGCCATTGGAACGCGTGGTTCAGCATGTTTTGCGGTCTATTGTGTAAATCAATTCCTCGCATCAGCTGACACGTCTGTGAATCGATCGGTGTCACGTGTCGCGTGATGTCTCCTGTTGCAGTGTGGTGTCGTCACTGAACAACATGTCTTGTCGACGATTTTAGAGACTTGAAGGAGGCATCTTATCTTTTTAATAGGATGGGAATTGGGAAATCTAGCTTTTTCTCATGTAAATTTAATTTATTGGTAATTTGTAATCGTTTTGGAAAAGCGAAATCTGAGTTAATACTCTATACCGCTCACCCTAAAGATTGGCTAATATGAAATGGAGATGGGCAACTGCAAGTAAAATTATGGCCACTCGAAGCACGAACTATACTTGAAAATTTGTTACTCTCATCTCGCTAAACTAAATTAGTGTTTCATGCTCTGGTTCGGCCGCAGGCTCGGACTCCA